GACCATGATAATCCACCACTTGAGTCTTCTACTCATGATCCATCTCATTCTTTTGAGATATCAAATTAAGTTCAAATCAACATATACGCACGCGCGCGCGTGCCCACACATGTGGTAGGATCATGGGGACACACATTTTATAGGGTCCTCTCCCTTAACTTTTTTTTAACGATCCAACCATCAAAATCTACACACACACAGTACTTATTAATGGAACGCTTGTCAACAAAAAACTAAGAAAACTATCATTATACTCTTTCATGCATACTTGAAAGAAAATATGAGAAAAGAAAATTTATGGGCATTAAAGTAATTTTGCACAAAATGATTTTGTTCTTCTTTTTCATCCATCACCCACATGTTATCTAAACATATCTCTAATTAAAAAAAATAAATGCAAAATAAAACACTCCCAAGCTTACTCTCTCCCTCTATTTATCACAATTCTTTTCAACTTCGGTCTCTTTCGTATAATTTTTTTCTTTTTAAAATTTTTTATTTACACATGATACATAGTGTGTGAGCTTCTTCTAGCTAGTATATATATCTATGTTCTTTTTTTCTTAGTTAAAGTAAAACTATATATATGTTGCCACGTGTAACGTACGTGAATGTGAATCATGTGATATTCAAGCCTTCATTTTCTAATTGCCTCGTGTTATGGACACTTCTGAGGTGCTTCATATATGCCACTTAAATAAAATAATCTGCTCTTTCTAATACTAGTTTGAAACATATAAACATGACTTAGGACTGTGTGCTTAAATTAACCCAATTAAATTAGTTAGTATGTACACTGCAGATTCTTTTCGAATATTTTGTTAACAAAAAGTAGGGCTAGTATATTGACACCAAACATTTCTATCTAGCTATGATGTTTGTTTAGTGTTAATGATAAATTTCGATGTACTGGCGATAAGAGTTCATTTTCTTACTTATTTCCAGTTGTACAACAAATTACATCTAGTCATCTACGTACAACAAATTACTGCTACAAAAATTGTAAGATGTAGGGCAGCTAAAATCTATCCTCTATGATTAAATTGGACAAATTCTAAGAGTCATATATGCCAATGTCCTCCATTCTCGTAGGTAGAACTCGTTTGGATATGTTTTTAAAATAACTTACAGCGTTTTTAGAGAAAAAGATTTTGGTTCCAAAAGCACTTAAAGTGCTTTATGCAAGAAGTACCAGTTATGTGTTTCTTCCAGGAAGTATTTTAAGTGTTTTTCCAAAATTTACTTGCATTTTTACTAAAAATTGGTTCCAAAAACATTTTTACCAAAAGTGTTTTCAGTCATTTTAAAAGCACATCCAAACGAGCATAATCTTTAGAGGAGTGTTTAAATTGTCCAATAATCCCTTGAAAAAATGTTCCAATCTATCTCTTCCTTGAATAAATAAAAATTATCCCAGTTTCCTCTCTTTGATTAATTCTAATGTAAGCATGTTCTGTGCCAACAAAGATTTGATTGAGTATATAATTAAATTAATAATTTCAGTAATATTTTGGATTTGGTCACTAGCTAACTACCTCCGGTCAAAGAAAAGCTGCCGGGCAATAGCATGTGCAGCTTGAGACCACATTTTTCTTTCTGCCTTGCCAAACCGGCCAGCAACCTTTAGTTCTCATTGTTTGTTTCACACGGTATATTCGCTTCAAACCTGACCTTTAATTAACTTCGTCATTCAAATATAGTAGTCAGGCCATAATGCACAAAACCAGAATAGTAGAATTTCGGGGTACAATTTTATGATGATTTTATTTGTATCTCAGCGGAGGTATACATTAATATTTACATGCGTGAAGAGCAAGTAACCTAATACAAATCAAACACACAACCATCTTAATTAACTAGAATATTCATACTTGGAAATTAACATGGATAACAGATTAATTAAGGGGTCCTTTCCATTACAAGGAATAAATCAAACTTTTTGAATAAAGTTGAGGTATCACCATAAAACCAATTAGAAATATAGAGTTAGCACAATTACTTATAAGCACAAATAAGGTCCCTCATTTTCTTGATGTGGGATTCATACTTTCAACACATCCTCTCACGTGTGACGAATGTTCAAGTCTATCACATGGACAACAGAAATCGGGTAATGCAAAGCACGTGTGGTCGTTGAGCTTCACAGTTGGAATAAATTGCTCTGATACTATGAAGAAAGTTGAGGTTCCACTAAAATCAATTTTCAATATGAGGAGGAGCCCAATTACTTATAGCATATGCAAGGTCTTTTGATGTTTAGGGTTTAAAGATTAATTAAAGGGGTCTATTCCATTACAAGGAATAAATCAAACTTTTTAAAGAAAATTGAGTTTACACCATAAAACCAACTAGTAATATAAGAAGTAGCCCAATTACTTAGGGCACATGCTAGATCACTCATTTTCTCGAGGTAGGATTCATACTCTCAACACTTTTACACTTATCCATTAGCCGAAGGCCGAAAACTAATGTGGAAATAAATCAACATGTATTGAACAGAGTGAATATGAATGTACAAATTCAAATTCCCTATAAAATTATTACAAGGAATAAAAATAAAAAGAAACCCCGTGTATCCTGTAACATTTGGACTTGTAATTAGGTCAAGTATACCATTATTCTTCCGACTTCAATAGATTTGTGGCAACTTCAAGAGTTTGCAAAAACTCATGCTTCAAGAGTTTGAAAATTTTCAGGTGCTTGATGTTGGGCTACTCTTTTACCTTCATCTTTTACCTTCATATCCTGACAATTAGTCTCATTATTTAGGAATATTGGCAGCCACACCAAATCGAACCATGAGACGAGGGTTAGCAGAAGCATGATGATGAGGCAGACCATGGCCTGCATAGTTCTTGACCTCGAGTGGGCAGCCCGATCCGCCCGTGCCAGGAATGTAGGTGCACTTAGACGACTCATCAGGAGGCAGCTGACCTCTTTGAAGAGACTGCAGGCTGAGCTCTTCCCTCTTTTTGGCATATAGAATCCTGCTAGCTTCGTTGGGTTGTACGTGTGCAAGACAAAGAAGCAACAGCAGCACAGCCAAAGCATTGATGTTTACCAGCCCCATAATATTTTTTACGTATGGTATAGTATTTCGGGTTTCGGAATTGAATCCGTTGAAATATTTTAGATTGTTTGGGCTCAGAATCGATTGGAATCAGATTTTCCTATCACCCCTAGTACTGAGATATATCGACGTATGTATAATAGTTTCACGAGGGAGTTGTGGTATTTATAGCTAAATCCATCGAGGAACTTTGTTACTATTTTATTGATTTGGAGGGATTTGACTGCCGACTACTGGTTTTATTTTTTTAATTCATTCTTTTAGTCTCCAAGTGCAGCTCAACAAAATTGAATAGGCCATCAAATGCAATTAACTAAAGCTTAAGGGAGAAAATGTGAGCTTCATCCCAAGGTTTTGCTTTCCAGCCTTCTTTGTCAAAGACTCAAATTCGTTTAATATATATATATATATATATATATATATATATATATATATATGTATATATATATATATATATTGATGATTAAGCAGAGTGTTACGGGTCTTTGATGATTAAGAATTGTGCTTTCTTTCCCTTCACGTACTCTCAACCATCGTTTTTTTATTTATTTATTAAACCTTCATCCATTGGTTAATTTATGTGATATATGAAAAAGTCTGGTAGTTCTTCCGTATACTCAAAATTCAGTCATGTCACATTTTATTCAACTTAGATTATAATACCTAAATTTGTTTTTTTTATTAATATACTCTACAAGTGAAACATAACAACCATATTGTTTATCTTTATAATAACACGTAAAATGATACAACACGTGACTTGTATTTTTAATAAATGTAAAAAATTCTCTAATAAATATGTGACTTATATTCAAATCGTTTTAGTGGTTCCCGGACTTGACACTTAGGCCAATAGCACTAGTCAAGTTCTCCCATTTAAATTAAAAAAAATTAAAATTAAAAAAAATAAAAAGGCAGACATAAAATACACTCTGAAGTGGTCCATTACGATACGCAAAATAAAATTCCAGTTCCAAATGGGACTTTCTCAACACATACATAATCCTAGTAGGAACAGAAAAAATTGTCAAACTTTACGTGACGTAATGTACATGGCTGCATCCTGTGACATATTTGATCTTAAAACTTTACGGAAAAAATCTTAAGTGTAACCGATTCATTATTTTCATCTTTCTCTCCCACGTGATGAAAGAAAATAAATGACAGAGAAAAATAGTTACATGTAGAATCCAAGGTTATAAAAGATGTTATGCGCTAGTCGGACGGCGGACTAGAGCTTAGCGCAGGCGGATTTAAGTAAATCTATTATATTTCATGTAAATAAGTGTCTGTTTATACTTAAAATACATATAATTTCATCATAAACTAAAAAATAAAATGACATGTATAATATGTGTTCATTTAAGTACTCAACAAGTATCTAACAATTTATTAAAAAAATAAAATTCAAAATGAAAGTTATCTCTTTTTTTGTCTAAATGTGTTGCAACCTAGGCGGATGCCTAGGCTGGCTAGGTGGGTGCCTACACGGTCTAGGCGGGCGCCTCATCAGCTTTAGGCGCCCCTTCTTAATTTTCAAACGGTTAGGCAGGAATTTTTAGAACAATGGTAGAATCTCTCCTTGAGTAAGATCTATTAATTTTTACTTGAAGCCAAACATTTCTCACTAGTCCTGCCAAAGGTAAGCATTTTCAGCAATTTTGACAACTAGTAGTCAAAGTTTAAACCATGTACTCTTTTCAGAAGGTAAATGCTCATGGTTTTTATGGCTCTGACGGAAATTGTGTGCCGGGTACCACCTGATAGCAGGGCGCACCCGAGACCACGAGGCGCGTAGCGAATACAAACCTGATATATTTCGGGGACAACATAACAATAGTAAGAGATTTTCACTCAATGTGGTCGGACAAAAAGTGTTTTCAGTAAAAATTTGAAGCCTGCTTCGTCAACCAAGAACCATGAAAGCCCAGGATAAATCAAACCTTCATTTCTAGCTTAAGAAAAGGGTAGAAGAAACACTTTACAAATGTTTTCTTATGAAAAAGATTACACCCTCACTCCAAATGTAATGACCCAGCAATTTCCTCGAATACATTATTACAACGGACAGTGACCCGCTAATTTGTGGGCAGGCTCCGTCGTACGTTCATTCTCTTCACTGACCGTTAGCAGGCCGGAATACAGTGTAACCATTCACCCCACATGCCATATTCGAATATTCTGGATTGTAGTATGGGTAACCATCAGGTTCTGTGTTCCTCATGCCAAGCTGCGATAGATCAGAACCAGCCATTGCCCACTGGTTAGGAACTAACCCATCAATCTGCCCATTCACATAAGGCAGCGGACCAGCTTGCGGAGTAAATTCCCTAAGTGGTTCGAAGTGGCCCCCTAATGTGTAGCCCCTCTGGAACCCGTCATCTTGGTAACTCCGTGTTCTCTCAAACCTACAAGAGCTGGTTGCAGAACCCATGTCGTTAGATATGCCCAAATCACCAGGGTAAGAAAATTGCCGACTTAAGTGGCCTGGCCCGTTACCCAAGGAGTGGAATACAGGGCTTCCTCTAGCTGCACCAAAGCCATGTTCATCATCAAGCAGATCATTGATGATGTCAAGGTGTGGGAACTCATCAGCCGATACACCTTGGGTATGGCGCCCGGATGTACAGGCTGGGAACTCAGTGGCCAAGTGTTCCCTTTGCCAACCTTGTAAAGGATGGAAGTAGTCAAAATTTTGAACATTAAGTAGGGAGGAAGGATCATAGTTCATGCCTTTGCTCGATTCCCTTTGAGAACTATCCATCCACTGGGGTCCATTATGCAACACATCCCGAGTTACCATTCCAAATGGGAAGCCTGACTTAAGTGTGCTTGGGTCCATCATTTCAGAGCTCTTAGGTAAGAACATTGGGGCAGATACCAAGGCCAGCGAGTGAGAGTATACTGGGGATGGGCTCACGCCTGAACTTGGAGAGTTAGTATGTGTGAGACCAGTTGAACCTGAAGCAACATGGTTACCCAGTATGGCGTTTCTATAGGACTGGGGAGCATAACTATGAGTTGCTGGTGATGGGTCAGGACCCAACCGGCCAGCTGCACTTACTGAACGGGCAAGCTGAGGAGCAGTTTGAGCTTGAACTGTAGGCACAACAGTAGAAGTAGGCCTCAGACCAGGAACAAGAGGAGCACTGGAAGGCCTAGACATCACAGGCATTTGATGTGCCATGGCTTTTTCAGCTGGCGTTGGAGTTGTAGCATTCTGATTTTGAGGTTTGGACATGCCATTATTCTGCGGTGAAGTTGTCAAAGGTACCACTCTCTCAGTCTGTTGAGCTCCACTGGAGGATCCTTTTCTGAGTGGACTAGATTCTACAACCGGACTACTCTGGCTCTCTGACTTCGGCTGACCATTCAGGGGCACATCTTTAGGAGGGCTTCCAGGAGAGGATGTTACTGCTGGTGTCTTGTCTTTCAAAGGCCTTTCTAGATCAACCTCATCTTTGATACTCAATTTTTTCTGCAGGGATACAACTTCTTCCTCCTATTACACAACATGCAAACAACCATGTCACTCAGGGAAAGTAACGAAATTGCAATTTATGCTGCTTTTATGATATGTTAATTATGAGGACAGCAAGGAATAATGAAAATATCACAAATGCAACAGGTAAAATTGGGGGGCACGGTGACTTTTAAAACCAATTATGAGGTTAAAAATACAAGTGACAGGCCAACAACAGCAACAAGGAACTCTTCAATACTCAGGGAACACTAAAAAAATTATATGAAAAAAAATTCCCACCACCTTAACAACATGCTGCTCCAGCCATTTATTCCGATCCTGCAATGAGTGAGCAGCAGGCTCTGACTCAGATTCACCCGCCTTACTACTACTTCTAGAAACATCATTCTGATAACCTGCATCCGCTACAGGCGCAGAAGGCTGACTATCCGTCTCATTTGGCCAACTATTCCCATCACTTGTTGCCTTAGTGCGTTGGTGTTTCCCCCTGCAATTATGAATTTGGTAAATTGATACGGTACCTTATAGAACCATCAACTTCAGAGCACAACACGTAAGCTATATATTTACCTGCTAGGTGATTTCTGGTTTTTGTAGCTAGAAAATGAGTTCCCCTTATATGGCCCATTCATTACCACTGATGGGACAGAATCTGTAGAACAAGTTGAGGAACTATCGTCCATCATAGATGGGCTCTTTCTTTCAGATACCCCATTTTGCACAGATGACAGTCCACTAATACCACTGCTACTGGCTTCTGTGGGAGGATGGACTTCTGATGTGTCAGTATCCCAATTTATTGGACTAGCATCTCTGTCTTCAGAATCAAGCGGAGGTGCTTCAGCAACACCATCCACTGAATCAGACATGTCAGATACATCTTCCACTGTATCCAGCTTTTCGAGTACAGGTTCTTCTTCATCCGGTGTGTAGTCTATCATTTCTTCAGTAGGTGGCGGCTTTAAAAAACCTCTTAAATTGATTTGGGTTACAGGTGTGGTTTTGGGTGTATTGACCGCATCTTCTTCTTGTTTCTCTTGTGCTTCTACATCGGGCCTTTCCTCCCTCCCTTTGTCCTTACCCTTCCGGTTGTTCTTTCTCTGTTTAGCCTGTAGAAAAGAAGCAAGGGAGGGGTGTGAGCGATCAAAGGGAAAAAATAAGAAAACATTTTTGACAAATCCAACCACCGTTTCTCCTCGTTACAGAGGTTTCAATTTCAAGTAAGATGTTGACAGAAAAGCAGCAGCCACATAATAGATTATTGTTTCCACCCTAAAGCTGGGAACAGAATTTTTTTTCAACTATCTGAAGGACCAAAATAGAAGATTAGAAGGGAAGATTAGTAAAAATAGGATCCCACTTGACAATCTCGTTTTCAAAGTTGCAATACAGGAACAATATGAACTATGAAGCAAAAGATAACATTGTTCAGAAAGACACGCCCCCTATCCATGAAAATAGACTTGGGCAACATTTGTAAACATATTCATTCCAATAAAGGCTACTAGAAAAACTTTCAATTCCCATGAGGCTGCCCTTTCCCACATAGTAATCCTAAAAGAATTGTGCATTTAAATATCCGTTTGGTGATTTTAATTTTAAATGAGAGAAAAGGAATAAAGATGTCATTAACAAATTCAGCAGTCCAGCTGATAACTGTTGAGGACATAAGGTGTCATACTCCACTAGTGATTCACATTAATAGGACAGTCTGGGATATCATAATCATCGAAACACTCTGAAATGTCACATTTACATTCTAAACAAGATAATACATAGAACAGAATCAAACCTGTTTTTTCTTGGACTTCTTTTCCTTTTCAGTAGCTCCTCGCTTTGCCTTCTGCTCACTTTCAGCCTGCCATGCTGCTTCTTCCTCACGGATGAGTTCCTCTTGCCTCTTCAATGCAACAGATTCATGATAGGCAACTTCAATTTTATTGCTGCATGTAAATAGGACAAGGAATGATACCATTATTAAGAATAGGCAAGTAAATATGATCACCATGTCAATGTTGAAAAGAGTGATGACCCATTGGTTTTCTTGGTCCAAAATTATCTACAAACATCCACTAAGATAATATTCATAATCCAAAATGCAAATATTTGAATTCCACTAATGAAAAGTGGTTAACTTCATTAGACCACCAAATGCGCCCTCTTTATCAACAATAAGATAAAATACGCCCAAAACAAAAAGCACTGATTTTTCCAGTAGGCAAAGATTCTAACTATAAATCCATTCCACATCACAAGGGAGTTGACATTAACTAGATAATACTCAACAATTTGTAAACAAATTACCAACAATGAAAAACCACATCTTACTCCTTATGCGTACTCATAGTACAGGACATGGCATGCGAGGAACCGCAATCCTTAATGCGTACCAATAATTCATCATAACTCTACCTATTTCAATTTGTGTAGTATACCAGGAACCGCAATCCTAAAAGAAACATGGCATGCCACTTCCTATGAAAGAAAATATATAAATGAAAATTGATGGTAGCACAATAATAACAACCAAAATTTTCACTAACAGATAAATCATAAATCGTAAGTCTCCTATCATTTAGTATGAAACATATCCACAATATATGAAGTAGGATTCATAACTGATTTAATGCAAAGAAGGCCAAGGGACAATCTTCAAATATTGCATAAACAAGAAAAGAATATATTAGGGCTGATAGAAGACCTGAAAATATGAGCAAGGACAAATATTTCTACAGTCCTACGACCCAATTCCGTAAGACGTCTTTCATCCCGCTCAACAGAATCTTTGTTGAAGTCCTCTCCAGAATTTCCATCCTGCAGGAATAGCAGAGTGATTTTTCAGAAATCAAGCAGTTAAAAGAGTGGAAAATAGAACAACCTACACATCTGCACCAACAACTATAATATGTTCCTTATTTACTACAAACCTACTACATTCCTAATCATATTAATTTTGCACTCCCTTGAAGGCTTGAAGTGAGAAATGTGCTATTCAGAATCCTTCTAATCACTAAAACACCATCATCTATAGATCTTTGCCCTTCAAACAAGTTTTGACTAGAACAACAAAATGCTTGAAACTTCTTACAAATCATATTTTTGGTGAGTTTACAAAACATATTTTCTAGTGAGTTAACCAGTCAGTGAACAGTGAACAGTGAACAGTGCACAGTGCTACTAACAATCAAGATATACTAAACTACTAAAATTTCTAAGGGGAATAACAGCTTTCGATGCATCCACATTTACGATAGAATTGAAGAGAAGCATAATTCACGCCAAGCATTGTGAAGTATAAAGAGTATAGAGTTTCCTTTATATGGTCACAAGGTAGAAATAACTGTTAACCAAAATCCTTGGTTGAAACGAACTTCTTGTGCTTAGACAAGTATTTTCCTAACTGGATACTGATTCCCAATATCCTGAGCACAAATCATAGCTGACAATATGAAATATCAATGTAAAAGAAGAATGGAATCCTCCATACCACACAACCAACAATCGGGACTTAAATGCGACAGACCAACCAAGCCAAACATCACCGTTTAGAATAGGATGTTAGCTACTCACTTTTGTACGATTTTGAGGACCCTTCTCATCTTTTGGAGGTAATGGTTCCAAGGCAGCCCTCTCAAGTAGCATCAGAACATCATCCACCAATACAAACATATCTTTCTCTACATGAACAATTGGTGCGGGCATTTCTTCAGCATCCAATAGTTTCACCTTACTTTTCTTGGACTTGGTTTGACCTTCAAGAGCCTTTAAACCACTATACAATGAGTCCATTACCAATGTAGATGTGACTTCTTTCTCAATAAAAAAGTGCTTAACGACTACTTTCAGGACTGCATCCATCTTCTCCCTGGACATACGGCGCCTGGCATTTTGTTCAATTCCCACCCAGAAGGAGCAGAAGCTGCAACAACATTAAAGGAAATGTTATCAAGAAATGAAGAGCATGTAACCACTACTAGAAGCGAGTAAATGACACATGTACAAACATGCAGACATACATGCGTAGAAGAACCCACATGAACCCAAGGTAACCATATTACTAAAAAATCCAGCAGATACAGCAAAAAATTCCATCAAATTCATGCCAAGTCACATTTACAAGAACCATAAAGCACTGTAAAGGTAAGCTCAAACCATTATGTCTTCCAAAATAGGGCATTGTATATTAAGCTCTAGTTGTGAGCATTCCAAACTGTAACTTGACAGAAGTTCCAAAAGCAAAGACATACCTTGACCATCTAGCTTTATCCTCTATCAATTTTCCGAGTTTGCTTCTTCTCTCTTCGACAAAACGACGGCAAATTTGCTCTACATTTGTCAAGTATACCCTAACAAGCTCTCTCCTATATTGACAATCAAGGCAGCGAAAGGGCCGGTCTGCTTTCTCCCTACAAAACCAGAAGCAAAGAATAGAAATGCTTACAAACACGAATAACGTGCATGAATATTAGAATACAGAAGTGCATGTCAAAACGATATTCAGCCACCAAAGATCAAAGTGTGAGTTTAAAAGGGGAGCCTTATAGTAAACTGGATTTGAAAACACAAAAGGACAGCAGAAGAGGATGCACTTCAATTTAGATTCCTTATCCAATTTAGATTAGAAATCCTAGAAGTCTATTTGGAATTGGAAAGGAAGTCTAATTCCTATTCCACTTAAAATAGGAGTAATAATCTGTAAAGAACATGTAAACTGCACCCTATGCCTATAAATAGAGAGAGATAAGTTCTAGGGTTTGCAAAAGTACTATATACTCTATTTTAATGGAAGAAGCCGTGATTTCTCTACCCACGGAAATCACAACAGGACGTACGCAAAAGTTCTGCCAAACCAGTATAAGTCTTGTGTGTTTTCTAGTTTTCTCTATTTTGCTAAGTTTTAGCCCATTGCCGAATACATCAAAGAGCAAGATCCAGAGAGAGTCAAAATTTTAACAATTGGTATTACAGCTTGGTTCAAGGTGTTCTACAATGTCAAGAGGAAAGTCCACGGACCTAGGGCCTACGCTAAAACCTTTTGATGGCAAGGATGACTTCACAGACTAGCAAATGATGATGAAGAATGTACTGATACAACAGGATTTGGATGATGCACTCGTTGGTGAGAAGCTTGCTACCATGACAGCAGAGGCATGGACTAAGGTTCTCAAGAAGGCCACTAGCTCCATCGAGACCCATCTCACAAGATTAGTCAGGTCCCACATCACAGAAAAGATGACTGCTCAGAAAGCATGCGAAAAGTTGGAGAATGTTTATATGGGCAAAACCATGTCCAATAAACTTTTTCTCAATGATGAACTATTCGAGCTTCAACTAGAAGAAGGAGGTGATATTGAAGATCACGTATGCCGATTTCAAAATTGCATAGCCAATCTTCAAAAGGGCGAAGAAACTTACAAAGATGATGATATGGCTATCATCTTGCTGAGGTCTCTACCTTCATCTTTCGAGCACTTTCAAACAACTCTAATGTTTGGAAAGGAGTCCCTAAAAGGCTTGAATACGTTATTCAAGCCCTTCAGTGATATGCTAAACTAGATGACATAATTGATAGCTCTCAAAGCTTTTATGTCAAAGGGAAGGAGAGGAGGCGGGAAAAGACAAAGGAAGAGAAAGCCGGTAACATGGGTAGGTCAAAATCCAAGAAGAAAAAGGAAAAGAAGTAAGGTTCAAATGTGGTTCTACCGACCATTGGAAGAGCAACTGCAAGATTTGGAAAGAGAAGAAAGCCAAGATGGAAGGAAGCTCAGGTTCAGCTAGTACAATCACTAAGCAACAACGTGACGGGGAGCTTCTTTCAGTAACATTAGGCTCCAAGGCTTTCACAAGTTGGATTTTGGATACCAGAGGCACATTCCATATGTGTGCCGTAAGAGAATGGTTCGATACTTGCATGGAGATTAGTAGCAGAGAAGTTTTAATGGGGGACAATTCAGCATGTCCAATAAAGGGGATCAGCACTGTTAGAATCAAAATGTTTGCTGGAGTGATACAAGCTTTGGGGAACGTCAGATATATCCCTAGACTGAAGAAGAATTTGATTTCCTTGGGTGCTTTAGATAGGGCCGGCTATAGGTACCATTCTAAAGCAGGAAGACTCAAGGTAACTAAAGGATCGCCGGTGGTAATGCAAGGTGACCTACAACACAAGGAGGTATAACTAATTGGGACTACAATAGAAGGGGGAGCAGTTGTTTCCACAATGTAAAGTGAAGAAGAAAAGACTGAACTCTGGCATCATAGGCTAGGGCACATAAGTCAAAAGAGGTTGCAAGAATTGCACAAGAAAGGCTTGTTGGAAGGCGTGTCACGTTGCAAGCTGGACTTTTGTGAATATTGTGTTCTCGGAAAGCAAATGAAGGTACCATGCGCAAGTAGCAGTGCAGATAACCGAAGCAAGGAGCAACTCAGCTATATTCACTGAAATGTTTGGGGCCTGCACCAACTAAATCCAATGGTGGAGCCAGGTATTTTGTTACTTTCATGGATGATTTTTCCAAAAAAGTTTGGGTTTATTTCATGAAACAGAAATCCGATGTTTTTGCAAAGTTCAAGGATTGAAGGACAGAAAATGAGAATGTGACAATGGAAGCGAGTATACAAGTAAGGAGTTTGCCAATTACTGTAAGTAGGAAGGCATGACAAGGCACTTCACAGTAAAGCCCCAACAAAAAAGAGTTGCTGAAAGAATGAACAGAACTCTCATGGAGAGAAAGAAGCAAGCGATTTCATGCAGGATTACCTGATAGTTTTTGGGCAAAGGCTGTTAATCATGCAAGTTATTTGATTAACGTATCACCATCTACAGTTCTCGGTTTTAAGAGTGCAGAAGAGGTATGGTCTGAGAAGTCGGTGAACTATTCCAAGCTTAGGGTGTTCGGCTGTAGTGCTTATGCACATATTCCAAGTGATGAAAGGTCCAAGCTCAAACCTAAGTCTACACATTGCATAATTTTAGCTTTTGAGAAAGAAGTGAAGGGTTTCAAGCTTTGGAATATAAACAACAAGAAGGTTGTCAGTCGAGATGTTGTCTTTGATGAGACAACCATGTCTCTGAACAAAGCCGAGAGCAGTGGGAAGAAAGACGATGTTGAAATACACGCAACAAAGATTCCGTTAATTAGTTCAGAGGAAGAAGAAGAGCATCAACATTGTTCACCAATTAGGATGTGGAGCAAGAAATAGAGCAGATTGAAGGCATTCCAATCCGCCATACATCCCAAGGGGTTCGAACTCTAACCCACAATCCACCTGAATTCCAAAGATGCATTCCATAGAGGAAACCTGACAAGTTTGGGTTTGACCAAGACGAAGGCTCTTAACATTAGTCAAGGAGATTCAACTACTTATCGAGAAGCTATAGCAAGTGATGAGCGAGATAGTTGGATAAGTGCTATGACAGAAGAAATGGAGTCTCTTTACAAGAACTTTGTTTGGGAGTTGCTTCCTAAGCTCAAAGACAAAAGCTAGACGGATGCAAGTGGGTATTTAGGAAAAAGGAAGGACTACACGAACAAGATGTCGTGAAATTCAAAGCAAGGCTCGTGGCTAAGGTGTACTCACAAAAGGAGAGGGTGGATTATGATGAGATCTTTTCACCCATAGTCAAGCATACTTCTATCATATTACTTTTAGCAATGGCAGCTCAGCATGACATGGAGATTAGGCAGACAGATGTGGAGACTGTGCTTCTTCATGGGGATCTAAAGGAGACGATTTTCATGGCTCAACCAGAAGGGTTTGTCGAGTATGGGAAAGAGAACCTAGTATGTTGTCTACGGAAGTCCTTGTATGGCCTAAAATGATCTCCAAGGCTGTGGTACAAGAGGTTTGATTCCTTCATGCTGGAAATTAATTTTAGGAGATGTTTATATGACTGTTGTGTCTACTATCATGTGTTCCAAGATGGGATGATCATATTACTATTGCTATGTGGATGACATGCTAATTGCTTGTCAAGACAAGTCTAGAATTCAAGACTTGAAGATGATGTTCAGCAAGGAGTTTGACATGAAGGATCTAGGTGCTGCATAGAAGATCTTGGCAGGAAATTTAGAAAGATAGGACCGCTGGAAGGATCTGGATATCACAAGCCAAGTATATTCAGCTATGATGCACACATACGGCACATCGGTCGTGTATCGCGTGTCGAATACGCAAATGTACACGATACGCCTCTGATACGGTTGAATATGCGTTGGATATGTATCTGGATCAACGGATACAGCGTTTGACAGATGGATACGGGTATCCGACAGTTTAGATACAGGTATCTGACTGTCCGGATATGGATATCAGCACCATGGCCTTTGATGCAATTTCGTGGAAGAAAACCTCATGACGGAGATGACACAATGTGGTGGAAGGAGGCCTCGCGAAGAAGATGACGCGATTTGGCGGAGGAAAGCGTTACACGGAGACGACCCAATCTAGTGGAGGAGGCTTCGCGAAGAAGATGACTATTATAGGTCAACATGTTGTTTGTTTGTTTTTGTGGAGAAAAACAACACCATAGTTTTGTTTTTTTTTTTTTTTTTTAATTTTATTTTTAGGGTTTAAATGACTAAAGCCCAAAACTACATAGCCCACCGAATTTACACCACTACCATCCTTTCTTCTTGAGAGTTTGAATAGTATAAATTAAATTTGCGTAATTAACTTTTTTATTGTATTATATTTTTTAAATATATATTTATTATATAAATTGCCGTATCCATGTCGTATCATGTCTTAATTTTTAAAAATTTGATGTACCCCCATATCGTATCGTGTCGTATCCTCGTGTCCGTGTCCATACATCGTAGATATTCAGAAGGTTCTTGAGAAGTTGTTCTTGAGAAGTTTAACATGCAAGAAGCAAAAGGCAATTTCAACTCCTTTGGCGGTTCACTTCAGGTTAAGTGGGCAACAATGTCCTAAGTTCGAAAAGGAGAAACAAGTGATGATGCAATGGTATGCACACAACCCAAAAACTCAAGCAATCAGTGTCGTTTCCAGGTACATGGCAAATCCAGGAAAGCAACATTGAATGCAGTCAAGTGGATTTTGCGTTATTTGAAGGGTTCTTGGCGACAAAGGATTATGTTTGAGAAGCAAAAAGAAAATGCAATGGTGTTGGGATGTGGATGTGGATGCCGATTATGCAAGGACATGGACAAGAGAAGGTCAACTTCTGGTTATGTCTTTACATGCTCACGAGGACCAATCAATTGGAGGGCACTACTGCAACCAATTACAGCTTTGTCAACCGTAGAGGCAGAGTATATTGCTTTGGCCGAAGCTGGAAATGAAGCAATTTGACTTAGTGGCTTGGTAAGTCAAATGGGAATCACTCAAGGATTATGTGAAGCTAAAAAGTGACGGTCAAAGTGCCATTCACTTGGCAAAAAATCAGGGTTTTCATCAAAGATCAAAGCACATTGAAGCAAGGTATCATAGAATTAGAAATTGGGTGGAGTCTAAGGAGATTTGGGTATAAAAGGTTCACAGGGACGACAATGCCACAGATTTCCTTACGAAGATAATGCTGACCAAGAAGTTCAACCATTGCTTGAACTTGATCAATCTCGTTGATTGATTAAAGCAAAGCACCTCCTCACTTGAGGTGCAATGAGGCAAGGAGAAGATTGCCAAGGTAAAGATTCTTGAAGATTTCGAGAGCTGCTTCAAGAATTTTCAAAGATACTTTGGGAAGCAATGATCAAGACTTGGTGTGACTCACCAAGGTGGAGATTGTTTCATTTTGGCTCGTCAATTAGTGTCTTTTTCTGTTTAGGATTGTTTTAGGAAATAAAGGGTGCACCAATTCTTCTCTTAAAAGGGTTAGGAAAGAATCTTAGTTTCCTTATTCAATTTAGATTAGAAATCCAAGAAGTCTATTTGGAATTGGAAAGGAAGTCTAATTTCCTATTCCACTTAAAATAGGAGTTATAATCTGCAAAGGACATGTAAACTGCACCCTATGCCTATAAATAGGGTGCGACAAGGCTTAAAACAGTGTGAGATAATATGTGACAGCCGAGAGAAGAGATAGAGATTAGTTCTAGGGTTTGCAAAAGTACTGTATACTCTATTATTAATTGAAGAAGCCGTGATTTCTCTACCCTGGGAAATCACAACTGGACGTAGGCAAAAGTTCTGCCGAACGAGTATAAATCCTATGTGTTTTCTAGTTTTCTCTATTTGGCTAAGCTTTAGTCTATTGCCGAATACATCAAAGAGCAAGATCTAGAGAGAGTCAAAATTTTAACCAAAAATTCATAAGTGGATTCCATTCAATATCACAAGATATAGTGCCTTCTTAGCTATAATGTATCCTTGTTGAGACCTAACTACGTTACTTATTTTGTGATCATAAGTCAAAAATACAACATTAGTGCTTCAGTAAATCAAATTATAGCTTGAATAATCATAGAGCACCTGATGACTTGGACTTGCGCCTTTATTATAAGAGTGTCAGCATCAATAAACCCATCTAATACTTTTGACTGCTCCATGAATTTTTTCCATCCCCAGTCATGCTCTTTCTTCCAAAAGCGATGTAATGTATCTACAAAAAATGTATGCTTACTCAAACGTGGTGATGGATATATTAAGAACCCACTGGAACAACAAAAAATTGATTAACCAACCAACCAGAATATTTCGATTTCTTAGGATCTTTATTTACCACAGCTATAGTAAACTGAGCAAAATGGCTCCAACCTGTTAGACAGACAAATGAGAAATTCCACAATTATACCCCCAATAAAATCAATAATCAGAGATAATTCAACAAAGGAAACAATAACACACCTGGAAGAAGTTTGTCATGATTAGCTACACAAAGAAACAAAGAGAGATGATTGCAAACATCACAACCCTGGGGATAGATCAAGATGTACCTGCCATAACAAAAATTTCAAAACTCACTCATCTTATGATGACTGTTTGCCCAAGCCACATGCATCTATCAAATATGTGCCAAGCTTAAACAATGTTGCATGGACATATACATAATTCTCATATTCCAGTAATTATGTAACCCTTCAGAAATGAATTTGGGCTACATTCCCTCGGTGGGTACAGAAGGAATCCAGAAGATGAACTCACTGGAACCCCCCAATATGTTTGTAACATATAACCACTCATGATTAGAACATCACATGGTACATCAAACACATTCATTATTGAGAACAAGGTAAAGGAAACGTAGTTGACCTCAGCTCCACTTTACTTAACTATTTATTGGTGGGTTGCATGTGTTGTCTGGAAAGAGGACCCAATGATTATTAATTCGCCAGAACCAGAAATTAATTTGATACAACTTGGATAAACAAGCAAACTAAAGTACTAGCATTTTTTGTGCTCAACATGCACAGAAAATAATAATATTCAGAATTCATACCACTTGTAGCCGCCAACCTCAAAAGCATTACTGCGAAGTTCCCTTTTGTTAATTTGAGAAAATTTCTCTATCTTCCACGTGAACTTTCCATATAATTCAGACGGCTTTGGCCCTATAAAGAAGTAAGAGGTTCATGAACATTTAACCAACTCATCCAAATAAAATTTGAAAGCAGAAACACTCACTGATAAAATGGCATGGGAAACGCAGAGGTCTTATTTCTTACAATAGAATAAAGGAAGGCTAAATTTTCAATCCAAGGTGGAGTGAAAGGGTAGTTAGAAATGAAATATAACCAAGATGAATTAAACCCATATATAAAATAAGAAATTTGGGAGGAAATGACATATTATAAAACTGATTCCATGCAGAGATGAGCAATCAAGTATAATGCTGCCCTTGTCTCCCTTCACCGACGCATGCTACAATTAAGTGTGGGGAGGTTTAATAAAACTTTGAAAAAAAGTCTACTATGTTATTTCACATGTTTCAAGTGAAAAATACATAAATGGAACAGGCTAATATGTTATTTCACATGTTTCAAGTGAAAAATACATAAATGGAACAGGTGTTTCATACAATAAAAATAATTTTTTTCAAATTTTGAATTTTTAAATATTTAGATATTCAAATGCACAATTGTCCAGCCCTTTTCTGCCATACTAAGCAAAACAAACTGTAGTTACGAGGTAAGTAAAACAATAGCCTAAGCAATCTCTCCCTAGGACAACCTAAATTCTCCAAATTGACGTATGTGATCAGGAGACACACTCATGCAAACATTTACAACATTTCAACACAAGATTAAAATACTTCAGAAAAGGATTGGACTCATCCTATGGTGCAACTTGTGAGTACAAACTTAAATATGGCAAAGGCTAATGTATTTGAAAATAACAATCATCTGTACAGTAGCTATAAAACATTCGTAGCTATACTTCACATAACCACAATCCAGGTGCATATCATCTTTTAGCTCCATTGATTCAAAATTTCCACAAGCCTGGTATTAGATTGGAAAAAACAAATACACATTCTAGCACACTAGGCAATAAGCAATGTAGTGCACAAAAACCATACCACCATCATCGTCGTCATCAGAGTCCCAATAAGGGGGCGAAGTAGATGGGGTTCCATTTTCCACCTGCTCAGAGGACCGCCATTCTGCTAAGGCTTCCCCAGAGAGACAACGCTGCCCACTTGAAATCCCCTCCGTAGACCTTCCTGCACCGGACTCTTCACTAGAAATCCCGGCCATTTCCCACTCCAAAACTCCTGTCCTCACACTCCAACCCTGCTCACATGATAAGAGAAAAACAATCAATAATAAAATCTATATACATTGGGAGTCCATTGCCTGAAAAGTAGCATGTGCACACTACAAGCCACACTTTCTTTTACCAATTACACCATAATTTTTAAAGAGCCCAGATATAAAACAACAACAGACATCTCAACGTTAGAATTTCAGGGGAGAACCAAACTTAACAAATTGAATCACACTTTCTGTCCTGTCTGTTAACAAGTAAATGTAACGAGACGACCGTAAAATCCAAAAAAAAAAAAAAGATTCTACTTTTTTGGGACCTGACAAAACAAAAATCTCAGTTCAACCGATTAATTAGCTTAGATGATGACAGTTTTACAGCAATCAAGACTTAAGGCGACATAGAACGCAAAAAATATTAAACCTAGTAAAAAAATTTCATGAGTTTCTCTGCAACCAAACAGCTTATCAATTACCATTCCCTAAACCAAAAACCCACATCCGAAAATCCAAAAACCAATAAACCCTGAAATCAAACTCCAAATACTCGAAGAAACCAAACTGAATTGAAACCAAACAGATTGAAAGTACGAAATTGCTAATCAAAAACCCTAAAAAGTCAGGACTATTTTGATGAACCCAATTGCGGAAAACGCAATCCAAATAAAAACCCACAAAAATCCGAACCAATCGAACTAAGATCAAGGATAATCAATCCCTTTTAACCGCGATCAAAAACAAACCATATAGAACCACAGAGGAACGAAATTGAAAAACAAATTACAGAAGGAACAGAAAAGGGAATCTCGGAAACGATATCCAATAGATCGAATAGTGATACGAACCTGCAACGAAGACCAGAGCTTATTCACAATGGCCAACGGAAGCTCTGAGATTCTAGAGAGAGGAAGAAAGAAAAAGAAAGGCGCGGGGGGCGGGGGTAGGGGGGGGTGGGGGGGAGAGCAGCGGGGCGAGAGATAGAATTGAGCAAAGGCGGAACCGAAAAAAGAAAATTTTTTTTTTTTTTAATTTAGGGGTGTATTGTAATTCTTTTAATGAATGCAGAGGTATTTAATTAAAATTTTAAGATAGTTTATTAAAATCTTTAGAAATTCGGGTATAATTAGAATTTTAAAGAAATTTATAATATTATAGGTGTATTCAATTAAAATTTGAATTTAAATAATTTGGAAAAGTTGAGGAATTATAGGGAATTGAAGATATTTTGTAGTGTATTTTAAGCATCCACAAATCTTACATCCTCATGATATTTCAAGAGAATTGAATCAAAATTTTAGACGAAATGTCTACCAATCAGTTAAACTAGGGGTGGGCACAGGCCAGGGCGGGCCCAACATTGGAGGGACCGGACCGGACCAGCTTGAAAATACAACGGGGCAGGCCGGGCCAATTCCTACAGGTCCTACGGGTAATTTTTTTTTTTTTTTCCCGAAACGACAACCTTCCTCGACGTCTCCGCCTCCCTCCGCCAAGGCCACTCCTCCATCTCTTTCTTAAATCCCACTCAATGCTCTTGCAGATGGAGGATGTAGCTAAAAATATTGTTAATACCATCTCCTCATTTCTGCTGGTCAATCTTGATATCGCGTTGCACTTGAATTCGATGACTAACCAGATCATCAATAATCTGGAATCAATGGAGTTCAGGTTAGCAGCTGCAATAGAATCAATTGCTTCGGAGATGAAGAATTCAATTTCACAAAATGCTACGAATAGGGAGAATGCTCAACAGAGTCAGTGACTATATAGACCAGGCCCTTTTACCTCTCATGGCGTCCATGCCGAACCCAATGTCGCAATCGGTGAGCTTTTGGCAGTTATTGCTCCAGTCCTCGTAGAGCCAGATCATCGATTGGGTTGCCGATGCATGATTTGTGCAAACCCAGCTGGGATTAAGAACTTGAAGAAGAAGAAGAAGGTTCAAGGAGAGAGAGAGAGAGAGACATCGAGAAGGATGAGAATCGACAGATCTGAAAGCAAAATCAGAAACCCACAAGGAAGAAAGATCGAGGGAGGAGACTCGGAGTGGTGTCGGAGACTCAAAGTCGGGATAGAGAAAGAGAGTGAGGGGAGAGTTGTGAATTGGGTTTGAGAATAAGAGAGAAGGTGATATCGTGATAGAGGGTAGAGCAATGAACGGTCCGGGCCGGGGCCCGTTTTCTCCAACTTTTAAAACCGACCCACCCGTTATTTACCAGGAACCGGCCCAGCCCGGCTTGTTTAGTATATATAATTTTTGGACCCGTCCCGTACCCGCCCCGACCCGTGGGTCCAGGACTCATTTGCCCACCCCTAAGTTAAACTCCATAAAAATTCATGGATTTATAAATCCAATAAAATCTCTCAAATTCCTAATTGAATACACCCTTTTAATTTTTTTTTTGATTTTTCCATTTTAGTGAATTTTGTTGAATTTTTTTTAATCAAACGATTGATTTTGTTAAATTAAATATTAGATTAGCTCCTGACAAGGTTCGAACTCATACCGTCATACAATAACTTAATAGTTTTTCCACTATTATGGTAAATGACCATTTTCTATGTTTCTTTTTTGGAGATGTTGACTTTGCCTTCTTTTCTATGTCATTGTTAATGCAAATAGAATTAATTTTAATTATTAAAATACACTTTTGATAATTAAAAGAATTTATAATTGAGAAAAACAAAATTGATGAGGGTAAAATTAAAATGAAAGGGGATGCAAGGTTACATAGGGTAGTGACAAATGTGGGGAACAAGTTTTTGTATCCAAAGCTTTGATGGGCTTGTGCTATAAGGTAGTGTTTGGTACGAAGAAGAGACGGAACAAAACGGGACAAAATGGAACGGAACGAAACGAAGGTTCCATGCTATATTTGGTACGCACAAGATGGAATGGGACAGTTGTTCTGTTCCACATTTGGTACGTGTAGGGCTGAATGGAACAAAGGATTAAATGACAAACGTACCCATGGTTCTCCGTTGACTCCATCGACTCAACCCTATAAATTTTCTGCAGCAGTCATGGGTATGGGAATAAAGGTTAAGCAACATGCGGGACCATCATCGTCGGAGCTCTGTACCTCATCACCTGGCGCGCCACTAGACCTTCTCTAGGATCTCCGAGTGCGAGTCGAGCAGCGTCACCGTCCATAATAACTACGACGTCGAAATGTCCTGAGCCGTGAAGAGGAAGTCAATGAGGCAGATGATCTAGAGATTAAGGAGAGGGAAAGGAGGTGGTAGAGGATTTTGTAATTATTAAGGCTATGGGAGAGGGAAGATAGAAGCTCTGATTTGTGACAAAGTCGGAGAAGCAATAGGGCATCGTCAAGCAACAGCATCGCCCACGTCTTGCCAGTAGATGACCTTGAGGGTTGGCGCGGCGGAAGACGATGGTTTCGTTGTCGGACCAGTAGCGAGGACGAAGGAGGCGGGAAGAATACGGGGTTTGGTTTGGATAGGTTTGTTGGATTGGGTTAGCATTGGGGCTGATTAGAGAGGGAGGATGAAATCGTCCTACAGGGAAGACGGTGGAGAAGCCATGGTTAGGTTGCTGGATTTGTGGTGGAGGAGGAGAAGAGAGGGAGGCTACAAGAGAGATGAAGGGTAGACAATGGAATTAATGAAATAGTTAAGGGGTATTGTTGTCCAAAAATTTATAATTTTGTGTGCCATGGGGTAAAGGTGGAACCAAAATTTAGCTAAAATCTGTTCCACGGGACAGCGTGCCCTACTCTTTTTAACCACCAAACGTGGGACGAGTGTGTTCCGTCCCATCTCATTTACCAAACGGTACCTAAGAAGACAAGCCAAACATTCATGTCCCTCAATTCTGAGTTAATAAGGACTAAGTCCAAAATATCCTGAAGGAAAAACAAGTCTTATAAAATGATTTTTTGTTCTTCCAACAACTTCTAGGTGCTTAGTCTGGTGTTACATTGAATGTTTTCGTCATTGATGAATTGTTTCCTGGGGCTTTAAGGAGCTTCCCATGGCTATTAAGGTGCTTCTTGCAACTTTCAGAATGATTTGTTAAACTAATAAACACTGGAACGACTGGGTAATTACAATGTGTGGTATGAAGCTAAAAACCTGCTAGTTTGGCGTGAAAGAGAGCAGTTATTCTTGGTTGCATAGTTTTGAAGTGGCTAACCTAGGGTTTCTAATGTTTTGGTAGTTTTGAAGGGGTAAGGAAGCTTATCAGAAAGATCAGAGTGAATGAACTGTTTAAAGCTCGTGAATTGTGGTTTTCAGCACTTATAAATAACTTGCTTTGATTAGTGCATCTTTCTTTCAAACGTATTAAGGCTTTTGATTTATAGTTGTAGGGATCTCTCTAAGTTTTAGATGGGGAATCCCGTGGTTTCCTCTCTTATTCCTGTTTTACTAAGTCGTCTCTTCTTCTTTTCATGGTTCCAGCTACATTATTCCTTTTTGGTATAACGCTACAGAAGGTGGGTAGCCCAGTGAAGCCCAAGGTTAAACACGATGCCCATGGCTCCATCTTCCGGCACCAAGTCGCACAATACGACTCTATCTTTGGCAATGCTCTACTCTGCTTTCTCCCTCATTTTCATGTAAGAGCTTAAAAGGGAAAGATGTTTTTTTTGGCTTATTAAAGTGGCGCACAACTCTAGGTCTAGACATGATTCGGTTTTGATTTGGTCAGCTAGCTTTGGGTTTTGGTTGTTTCCTATGTGTCTTATTTGGTTTGTAACAGAAATGAAAGAATAAATTGTTCTCTCTCAATGTCTTCCTACGTGCAATTAAAACTATGGGCTTAGATTTTGGTGCTCCCAAGTAACCCAAAATCTTCCACAACCCTAAATCCACGTAGGCCAATGAACTTCCTTAATCATTCACACAATGTCCCATTCGACAAAACCCGTTACGTGGCTTGGACTCATTTAAGTGTATCATGTGCTTGGCGTGACTCAAATTAAATGTTGATGTATGAATACTATACTACGGCTTGGCACGATATATATGCGTAAGTTGCATGAGTTTGGTGTGATTTTACAAACGTTCAATTTATAAAATATTATTTTATTAGCATGGCATGATTGTAAATTTGCATACCCAACATTTCACACTTTATGCATGAATTTAAGTTTGGTTTGTGACGTCTATGCAACCATTATGCTTTGGGCTTGTTGGTGAAATTTCTAGACTCTAACATTAGCCTCCTTGATTATTTGGGCCATGCAAGAACAAAATGATTTGAATAATCAATCGGGCCCAAAACACCAAAAGTATGTGCATGGACTCAGCTTTTTTATCGCCACTAGCTTTGTAGTTGTAGCTTTTCATCACTTAATTTAGTTATTGTTTGCTTAACCGTCTCGCTCAGACATAATTTCTTATTCACGTGCATGTTCTTCAAATGATTTATGACATGTACTTTGACTTGCATAAAATGAGTTGAACTCTCACACTATAACAATTTCATTTCTTCTATGTTTGGTCATCATAAAATCCTGGGCATTACAAGATCAGGTTCTAGTACTCTTGCGATATATATATATATATATATATATATATATATATATATATGTGTCAAATGTCGTTGCTATCTCAAGACGATCCTTTTATTATTTCTAGTACAACCAACTACTATCCAGAGCTCACAGGTTACTGTGGTTGTGCCTTGCATATGTCTAGCGATTGTAATCAGTGTGATTGGATCATAAATGTAAGTGCTACGAACTATATGACTTATGACGACAACGATCTTGTTTGTGACTACATCTAATTAAGACATAATAGTATCACTAGTAACAATGGTGTACCCTCTATTACTGGCACTCACATTGTGCCTCTTACTTCTACTCTCTCTTTACCCAATATGTTTACTTGTTCCATCATTAAAACATAAATTGATGTCCCGCAGTCAAGTTACTAAACAATTGAATTGTTGTGTACTAATGTATCCTAAGTTTTGTCTTATCCAGGATATTCTCCCGAAGGACATAATTGGTCATGGTACTAAAAGAAT